AGATCTCAAGTTCAAATCTTGAGTCAAGTGATGATGGATTTAGGGAAAATGAATGATTATTCTTTCTTATATAACTATTTAGATGTACCAAAAAAAAATATATATAAATAGTATATATCAATTTTGGTTCTAAAAAATTAGAGTCTCGATCTACATTTAGAAATCAAAATCTTAATTTAAAATTTAAGAATACATCTTATTAAATTTTGATACTCATATTTGAAAACAGACTATATATTTTGAGATTAATGTGTATTAATTCTAATTCCTAAAAATAATTAGAGTTCCAACCTACAGTTGTAAATTGAAATTTGATTTTATTAAATGTTAATATTTAGATTTAGAAACTAATTATATTAGATTAACGTTTAATAATATAATTTTTAAATTTTAATTGAATTTTAATTAAATAAAATGATGTAATTTAAAGTTGAGACTTTAATTTATTTTGAGGGTTGGGATTGATATGTACTTTTCTCATATATTTTAATATAATTAATTTTTAAATATAAATATTAACATTTAATAAAATACATTTTTGAATTTTAAATTAAATTTGAATTAAATGAGTTGGGACTTTAATTTATTTTAGGAGTCGGGATTAACATGCATTTTTTTCATATACATAAAACAAAAATTTACTTACGTATAAGTTTTACACATTTTACTTACATAAAATCTTAATTATTCATCTTTTTACTTTTAATGGTTGAAATTTTGAAATGAATAAATCTCAACTATTAAAAACAAAACATAAGTAGTTGAAATTTTGTGTAAATATAATATGTAAAATTTATCCTCTTAAGTAAGGTGTTGAGTTCAAGTCTTGTGGATGAACAAACAAACATTGATAGAGCTTTTCCCGTAATGAGATCTGACGTAATTCGATTCTAGATTAATCAAGATCCAATGTGGTTATCGGATACTGAGAAGTTAATATTAAAAAAATAATAATATGTAAAATTTACATATAAATAAATTTATAATCATATATATATGTTCAAATAAAATGAGTAATATTATGGTTACTAAGCAAAATGTTAACATTACTAAAAATATATAAAATATTATATTTAAAAGTATTAATTTTATTTTATTTAATTAATAAAAATAACTAATAATTAGAAATATTAATAAATAAATAATAATAAAATTAACATTTATTAATTAACAAATTAAATTCAATTAATAAACTATATTTTCATATATTATTAAAGAAAAAAAAAAAACCATAACAAAACAAAAATTTGTAGGCTTAACACTTGTTGGAATGACAATTACACACCCATTTTGCATCGCTGCAGGTTAATGTCTGATGTGGCAGCCTGAGTGGACAGAATGAGTGGTGGGTCCCACGATCATAGCAATACGAGTACAAGTGGATGGTCGGTCAGATGATTCTCAACGACCGAACACGGAGCTCTTAGCAAACCCGAACCGACCCAAATAAAAGCTGTGTCAACAAAGAGCATGTTCGTTCAATCCCCGGAATATGCTTCTTCCTTCCTAACCCCTTTCTCTGTGGCCACAGAAATCTCCCCCAAGAATTCCTCCTTCAGAATGTTCAAGTCACAATTTTTATAACCCTAAAACTTCAATTATTTCTCCCTCTCTCGTTGGTTTTCTCCCCTTTGCAAGAAAGACTGTTATGGACTGATTTGTGAACTTCTTTCATCCAATCTGCTGCCCTGCAACATAATACCGCTCATAATGCAGAACCCATCAACAGTAAGTCAGGACTCAATCCCGGCTGCGTTTGATCTCATCGCCCATCTGGGTCGCTTTGCTTTTAGTCGAAGGTTTCAGCTTCCGAATTCAGATGGTTGCTCCTCTTTTAAGCCGAATTTCATGTCTTTTGCCACGTTTAGGGGCTCCGTGAATAGGCGTCAGACTGTTTCGTTTAGTTTGAATGTTTGGAACAGTACTGCTTCAAGCATTACGAGTGTAGTGGATGAGTTCAATAGAGTGATTAAGTTTAACTGTGATAGAATCCCTATTGGGTTTGCTTCGGTGCGGGTGGGCTCTGAGGAGAGCAATGGAGTGCTGGATGATGGGTTTGGGGTTTTGGAGGAGGAGGGTTTGCCTATGAATGAGGTTGTAACCAAGAAACCCAGGAAAGTTTTGATTTTGATGAGTGATACTGGTGGGGGTCACAGAGCGTCTGCGGAAGCTATAAAGGCTGCTTTTAGTGAGGAATTTGGGGATGAGTACCAGGTTAGTTTTGTTGGGCTTTGAATTATAATACAGTTTCATCTTTTTTGCCTTTTCTGCCTCTAGGCTTTTGTTTATGCATGCTGGTTATAAATCAGAGAAAGAAAATTAGCTGCTGTCTAAGTATGTATTTGTTGATCATGTTCTGTTTGTTAAGAGCGCCTATGGCAGGTATTTGTTACGGATTTATGGACAGATCACACGCCCTGGCCATTTAACCAATTGCCAAAGAGTTACAATTTCTTGGTGAAACACGGATCATTATGGAAAATGACGTATTATGTATCTGCTCCTCGGGTGGTTCATCAATCTAACTTTGCTGCAACCTCAACGTTTATAGCTAGGTAAGGGTTTTGAGTTCCTCCACGGATAATTACATTTTTTTTTTCTCTGTGTAGTTGCCTCTAAGTAAGTTTTGCGGTGAAACGGAGTATAATATGTCGTCGGGCTGATACAATTTGGCATATGATTTTGATGCCTTCCTTGACATGACATTGTCTCTTTGCTGGACATGGTGAAAATGTGATGCACTAAGTTTGCACAATTGTCTGTCCATTTACTGCTTGATGTATTATTTGAAAGTTAAGCTTTATTGTTTACTTTTTCTGCATAATCTATCACACAGTTTATCATTTTCCTGATATTTAAAGTTATGTTATACCTCATCCTCATTTTTATAAGTGTATAGTTGAGTTTGAAGTGCTTAATTATTGGCAAACACCCACATGCTTCACTTCTGTAGACAAGACACTGTAAAATTTCCTTGCAAAGGAGAAAAGATGTCAAAGACTGCATTTATGCTTGTTTTATTTCTTTTATCATGTAAAAGATATTGAAGATTGCAATTCATTTTTCTTTTTTCAAAATTGCAAAATTGAACTTTATACGGCTGTGTTTGTGCAGTTGTGCTAGCATGTACCCACGTGCCCATCACTTTCTATTTTGTAGTAAGTGGCCTTTATCTGATTCTTTTGTTCTGTATTCTTATAGAGAGGTGGCTAAAGGATTGATGAAGTATCAGCCAGACATTATTATCAGTGTGCATCCACTTATGCAACATGTTCCACTTCGTATTTTGAGAGCAAAGGGTCTGCTGAATAAGATAGTTTTTACCACGGTGGTCACAGATCTATGCACTTGTCATCCTACATGGTTGGCTTAGTTCTGCATCATATTTCTTATTTTTCAGTTAATCCTTATTCCTTGTGTAATTTTAGTCTTGTATCTCATTTTATTAGGTTTCATAAGCTTGTAACTAGATGTTACTGCCCAACAACTGAAGTGGAGAAAAGGGCATTGAAAGCTGGACTGAAACATTCCCAAATAAAAGTTTATGGCCTTCCTGTGAGACCTTCCTTTGTGAAGCCCATTCAACCAAAGGTTGGTTACGCTTTGAATTGATTACTTTTGAGTTATTGTCAGCCACTTTGACTTTTTTTATTCTTCCACAGATGGTTTTCCTTAGCATCCCCATCTTTATATGATTAGACATAGGTTCTCCATGAAATCTGTAGGAGAGATCTTTAATCCATGTAGCTAATTGCTGGCCTGGATAGATTCCTCAGCTTGTTTGGTTTTTGAAAACCGAACTTGATAAGTTCATATGAGTTCTCAAGTTAGTGACAGTAAACTGATGTTTGGGTGGAGTTTCTCTTACCTCTTTACCTCTAGGTCCTCAACTTTGGTGCAAATGACACTAACAAGTTTGTTTTCAATATTTTTAGGTTGAGTTGAGGAAAGAATTGGGAATGGATGAGGATCTTCCGGCTGTTTTGCTGATGGGAGGAGGAGAAGGGATGGGACCCATTGAGGCTACAGCAAGGGCACTTGGAGATGCATTATATGATGAGAATCTTGGAGTGCCCATTGGTCAGGTCCTTGTGATATGTGGCCGTAACAAAAAACTTGCAAATAAATTGCTTTCAAATGATTGGAAAATTCCTATCCAGGTATTAACCTAACTGTGAGTCTTTACTGGATCTGTATCTGTCCTTCTTCAGCTAATAATCCACAATTTGTTGAAGAATGACAAGGACACTATACTTGAAGCTCTCGTTGCTTCAATTATTTTACTGGCTTTGAAGATCCAAACCAATGAAATATGGACAAAAATTTTGAAAATAACATATGATAATATTGTTGCTCTTGTATGCACATCATATACCAAGAAGAAGAGTTCCTGAAGTTCTCTACATATTCTGCAGGTCAAGGGATTTGTTACAAAAATGGAGGAATGTATGGGTGCTTGTGACTGCATTATCACTAAGGTAGCTTTCTAATGACATTAAAGTAACAATAGATGCATCATGCATGTTTCTGAGTTCATCACTAGTCATCAACTAACAATATCGCTTCTGTAGGCTGGCCCAGGGACAATTGCAGAAGCCATGATCCGAGGCCTTCCCATAATTCTCAATGATTATATTGCAGGGCAGGTAAGGACAACCAACCACCATGCTTTGCCTCGAAATATCATGTTAGCATCTTAAAATAAAACAGCAGTAAATAATGAATCCTCTAACAATCTTACATTGTTGACTCGAAACCTTATATGGTATTTACAGGAGGCCGGCAATGTGCCTTACGTGGTGGAAAATGGATGCGGGAAATTTTCCAAGTCACCAAAAGAGATAGCAAACATCGTTGCTGAATGGTTTGGCCCCAAAGCAGATGAACTGAGGACCATGTCTCAAAATGCAGTAAAGCTAGCAAGGCCTGATTCTGTATTCAAGATTGTTCATGATCTCCATGAGCTCGTTAGACAGAGAAATCTGGTACCCCAATTTTCATCTTCAACTTAGTTCTTGTGCTCCCTCCACGAATCAATTTTGTTACAATTTGCTTCCCAGAAAATGTATAACTAAGCATACTATTATTTTTTGGGAAATTATTGTTTTAATAAAGTCTTAATTGAGATTAACCAAAAAAAACAAAAAGTGAGTATTTTGTTGTCTGGATTGAAGCAAACGCACTATTGGTTGAGCAGCAGAAAAAGAAAAGGGAAATGTTGAAGCTGACGTGTTATTCCACGTCAAAATATCAGCACAGTCAGAGTTGACTGGGTCCGGACAATCAGAAACGTATCTAGATCATCTGATGCCACGTCATCGTATATTTTATTGAACCTTTAATAAGGACTAACCGCCTGTCATCGTCGTGGACTTGCCGCTGACACCTGAACCGTAAAGAGACAGAGAGAGAAGACTGATGACTTCAGTGTGACTTAACCTGAAGCGTAAACACAAAAATTGTCGCACTTTATCT